CTGGCCATGAAGAGGACGCGAACTCCACCACCGCCGCCGCCCGCCGCCCGCCGCCGCCGCCCGCCGCCGCCGCCGCGCCCGTCGCGCCCGTCCGCCGTCTCGCTGCGTCGCGAGACCCCGCGCCCGTCCGCCGTCTCGCTGCGTCGCGAGACCCCGCGCATTGGCTCGCTCCGTCGCGAGCCCCCGCTGCCCTCCGCCGCGCCCGTCTCGCTGCGTCGCGAGACCCGCCCACGCGCGCGCCCGGGAAAACAAAATGTAAAACCGCGAAATGGGCACGCTGGAGTCCTTGAAAAAATATTTCATGACAGGAAACACCCGGCCGGCTACAGCACGCCGGATCGCCTCTGGCGCGGTGTTGACAAGAAAGTAAATAAGGAAAAAGTGATTGATTTTCTCCGGGGAGAAGACTGTTATACTTTACACAAAAACGTCAGGAAGAACTTTCCGAGGAATGTGACGTACTCCGACGGCCTGGACTCTGTATGGCAGTGTGATTTGATGGCCTACGATGACATCGCCGAACACAACAACGGTTCACGCAGCGTACTCGTCGTCGTTGATGTTTTCAGCCGCTACGCATGGACTATACCTGTACGGGATAAGAAAGCAGACACTATTGTTAAGGCATTCGAAAAACTATTTGATTCTACTGATCGCCAGTGTGGCTCGCTGATTTCTGACAAGGGCGGGGAGTTCAAAAATAATAAACTGTACAAATTTCTGAAAGAGCGTGGTATTTCATATTTCCATACGAACAACCCACAGACAAAATGTGCTATAGCCGAGCGTCTGATCAAATCACTTCGCCTCTGGATGCAGCGCGTGTTCACACACACTCGCAGTTTCAACTATGTTGACGGGGTTTTGGCCGACGTCACTCAGGCGTACAACAACAAGTACCACAGAACCATCAAAATGACACCGACTGAGGCGAGTGACCCCTCGCGCATGATGGAAGTGTACAACACGCTGTACGGCAAAATGAATGAACGCCGTGTCAAGCCAAAACTAAAAGTAAAGGATTACGTCCGCATCTCGCGCGAAAAAGACAAGTTCGAAAAAGAGGTGTCTTATAACTGGAGCAAAGAGGTGTTCCAAATAACAAAAATCATCCCACACCCTCAACCTGTGTACAAAATAGCAGATATTGATAAACATGAAGAAATAGAGGGACATTTTTATGAATGGGAGTTGAATAAGGTGCACAAACCAACCATATTTGAAATTGACCACATTGTGGACACAGAGGGGAAGGGGGCAAAGAAAAAAGTTCTCGTGCATTGGCTCGGGTATCCTAAATCGGCACGATCATGGATCTTCGAAAAGGATTTGAAGAAAATATAAAAGCAAGTCGCCACGTGAAAAATGCGTCAGTCGTTCTCTACGCTCGGTCAAAGATGGATTTTCATATGGTGCTTCCGAGCAACGCCTCGCCAAATATTTACCCCCAAAATAAGACGTCAGACTTTAAAGTCGATTTCGAAGAAAGATGCGAGCTCCACGGAGAATGGGAGATGGCCTTACTAGAAGTGCATTATCCAAACACGATTGTTAACGTGTGCGAGGAAGAAAGCTGGATTCGCATTTACGATCTGCGCCCGCAGACGCGACACGTGAAGCCTAGTAAAGCACCCAACAGAAGGGGCCCACAGTTTAGCGCGGACGCCCCCACCATTGCCGAATCAGATCTGACCCCCGAGGACTTGCTGCACGAGTTTCATCTTACCCCGGGGCTGTACACTACTGTCAGCGCTCTCATCGAGAACATAAAGGAAGTTTTGAAACCGCTTGAGAGTTACTTTGTCACCAGCCCTGAAGACCCCATCCCGGTCGTTTCGGATAACGATTCTCTGGTCGGCATGGTAGATAACAGATTTCAACTGTCGGCTTTGTACGCACTCGTTGACTGTGTTATTTTCTTCGCGCCACGTCTCGCTCAACAACTAGGCCTGTCCTTCTCAGGCCCCTACTCTACACAAGCCCCCGTCACCGCCGTACGATACGTCGACCTTAGCCTGGGTCAGCCCGGACAAATGTACATTTACATCTCGATTATTGAGAACCAAATTGTTGGGCATACCCGGGCTCCACTTCTTCGGACCGTACCTCTCAAGAACGACGCCAGGTTTGGAACGGTCTCCACCTACAAGTGTGATCACCTTATCTATCACAGCCTTTCGACCAAATCGTTCGGCGATCTGGAAGTCAATATAAGGACGGACACCGGCAATCTTTTGCCATTCTGTTCCGGGACGGCGATACTAGTGTGTCACTTCAGGCAACGCAGACACTCCTCATAAAAAATGGCGAATATTACCGAGTATTATGTGCGCCAGGCTCAGACCGGCTCAGGACTCCACTTCTACAGGGGTGGCGCAGGACAACGCGGGCATGGTTTCGGCTCGTTTCTTGGAGGGCTGTTCAAAAGCATCGTCCCTCTCTTTACATCTGGCGCGAAAGCACTCGGAACCGAAGCACTGAGGGCAGGCACGGGTGTGCTTGCCGACATGGCGTCAGGGCAGAACCCCATGGAAAGTTTGAAAAAGAGAGGAGCCGCCGCAGGGCATAGCCTTGTCGATAGGCTGAGCGCCAAAATGGAGGGCAACGGTATAAAACGAGGCAAAGGTGTGCGCCGCGTCCAGTCGGGTCGAGTAGCCCGTCGCGGACGCACTCCGTCAGCTCCGAAGAGATCATCGCTGAGCGATATTTTCCACTAGCACGATGAGTTTCCTTCATCACAGCAGCCCCGTCGCGGTGCAAAACTCGCTCGACCTCTGGCTGAGCAGAGAAACAAACATTTCAGTGCTAGAAACGAAGAAAGAGCCAAACAAAGCTGTTGTCGGCGTCACTCCGTTCTCAACAAACGTCCAGTTCCGGGTGCACGGGACCAGCGCCTACATCGCGACAAACGGAATCGAGCTCGACGTCACGTTCAGAATCACGGCGGGGGATGGAAAAGTTCTCACCAACAACGAGTCCGATGCAGCGCCCATCAACTACATCATGCACACGATGTGGGAGCAAGTCAATCTCAGCGTAGGCAACACGCCCATCACGCAGAGCTCCATGACTTATCCCTATCGTGCCTATATCGAGTCCGTGCTGTCATACGATCTCCCCGCAAAAGTGTCCCACATGGGTATGAGAATGTATGCAAAAGACACAGCAGGCCATATGAACGCGTATACGGGGGACGACAACGCAGGACTGGCAGCGAGAAGGCGAAGGACATCAAACAGCAAGGTTGTGAAAGTCCGAGGACCGCTGCATCTCGATTTTCTCAATCAAGGAAAATATCCCCTACCCAACACAGACCTCGAAATCAGGCTGACGAGAGGTAAAGATTCGTTTGCTTTGATGTCTACCGCTCAATCAGAGAAAATTGAGATTCTCGACGTAACCCTTTGGGTACCGAGAGTCACCGTGGCTCCATCGATCTGTCTGGCACACGCGCAAGCTCTGGAACACGCCCCGGCGCGCTACCCTTTCACCAGGACCTGCATCAAGACCGTCACCATCCCCGGAGGCCTGCGCGACAAGAGCATCCCAAACGTGCACTGCGGCCCGGTTCCGAAACGTGTAACTATCATGCTGAATTCGAACGTCGCCTATAACGGGAGTTATCGTGAAAACCCACTGAACGCGCATCACTTTGATGTGCACCATGTGTCTCTCTTTGTGGATACGGATCAATATCCAGCCATTCCACTCACTCCTGACTTTGTAAACGAGCAATGGACAGATGCGTACTCAACCCTTTTCTCCGACACGGGGATTCAGTTTAAAGATGAAGGAAATGATATAAGTTATGATGACTACGGTAAAGGCTATACGTTTTTCTGTTTTGATCTGACTTCCGATTCGAGTGCGCACGAAGGACACTGGAACCTTCAGAAGCAAGGAGTAGTGAGACTTGAACTCCGTTTCAAAATACCACTCCCTGCAGCAGTGAACTGCATCATTTATTCCGAGTTCGATAATATATTAGAGATCGACAAGAACAGACAAGTGATAGTCGACTATAACGTCTAGACATGGACGGTAGTACGCTTGAACTATTCCTGCGCAAAGACCATCATGCATCGAGACATTTTCTCGGTGTTTTCGCGGCTGATACCCTCCCCCGTACAATTAAGAAACCAGCTCTCATTGTTGTTAATTCGGACCCTATTTGTAAACCTGGTACGCATTGGCTAGCCATCAGCGTGAACGCGTGTGGGGAAGGAGAGTATTTTGACTCTTTTGGTGCAAAACCCTTTGTAAGAGAGCACAAAAACTTTCTGAATCGTGTATGTAAAACATGGAAATATAATCACACCGACCTGCAAGCTCTTGACAGCTCTGTATGCGGTCAATATTGTGTCATGTATCTACTTTGTAAGGCTCATGGATTTACTTTGAATGATTTTTTGGAGTGTTTTACTTCTAATTGTGTACAAAACGATCTTCTCGTGGATAAAATGTTTCTACGTTACTACTCTAAAAATGTTAAGCTATGTGACGATGTGCATGTAAAAGTCAACAAGCAAAAATGTTGTAAACGTGGAAAGAAATAAAAATAATGTTCTATAAAAAATTCTGATTTTTATTTTTACGACAAGAAACAATATCTTAAAATTCCCCATTCAAAAGAACCTGTCGCGGCCCGCTCTGAAACAACGAAAAATAAAACACACAGACACATTCTATAGGTAATCCCACGACGCTCCCAAGTCGCTATGTGTGATACAAACAGAATATGCCTATGATTTTATTTTTACGCCGTTCCAGTGCGACCTCGCTCACGGCACTTTTGAATCCACACTTTTTTATACAACCCTCTCAAGGAATAAACACATGTATGACTGACATTATGTCTCTACGACAAATAAAACAATGCTTAACTACTGAGGCACATTTCGAACACGAAGCAAGATGTCTACATGGTAAAAACACGGCGCCGAGATTGTCTTGGAAACACACTTTACACTTCATCACGTCGTCAGTCTCTTCCTCACTCGCATGTCCTGAATCCACATCGCCATTCTCTCGCTCATCAATATCCTTCAAAGCCAAAGTACGAATCTCCTGTAGAAACAAAAACACGACAAAATTAAAAACCACCCATCATATTATTAAAAGTATAAACGCACAAGTACGTACCTCCAAAGTCATTGTAGCCGGTCTCTCCCCCTTTACGCAACGGATAAAATCAGCGCCTTTCCTCATCTTCACATAAGCACACTTCGGAAAATGTAAAGCGTGTTCAAACCAAGGATCATCGCCCTTACTCCATTCCTTCAAACCGCCCCCGCAATGAAAGCAAAGGGTCAAGTCCAAAGCTTGGGTGCTACGAAAAAATCCAGCGTCAGACAGCTGCTCCGCACTCACTTTATGCTCAAACTCCCAAGTTCGAAACGTATCTTGTCGACGTTGCAAAGGCTCATAATATTCCATATAAGGTTTCTTTGACGGAAAGGGGAAGGCCTTCCTGTCAAGCCTATAATCATCCGAAAATATATCTGGAGCTCTGGACGAGGTCTCCCATAGACCAGGGCTAAAGGGACGTCTGTGCGTAGCCATCTTCACTGCTCCGAAGTCTCAACTCGAATGTCGGCGGGCTCAGCGGCGCACCGCCGCGCGAGCAGCCGAGCCGCACCGTGACGAGCCGAGCCGAGCCGAGCCGAGCCGAGCGCCTCCCGAGCTAAGCCGAGAAAGGGCCGGGCCAGCCGCGCCAGCGCCCGCTCTCCGATACACATGTCAATCAGATCCCTTGGACCCTCAGCGGTCCAGTGGTCTAGGGGTTAGCGCCCCCAACTACGAAACCAAAGTTCCAAGATCGAAACCCGACCAAGGCAGAAAAAATATTTTCCCCCTCCACCTCGTCACATTCTACAAAAACGTCGCGGCCCCCCACTCCATGCAACGGATTCGTTTTCTGGGCCCCCCACCCCTTGCGACAAAAATTTGCGACAAAGTGCAGCCCATACTACTGATGTATGCCAGGCGCGTCGCAGCGCAACAGTGTTTCGTGAGATATCGCGAAGCCTGTTACGCGAGACGTGGTCTGGCGTACATCTACCTAGTTAGATAATTGAAGCACTGCTGAAGTAGAATCTTGTACATACTTTCACTAAGGGAGTCCGAGGGAATGTTGAAATCATCGGTCAGCAGCTCTGCCTCGATTGGGAACAGCTGAAAAGATAAGTTGGTTTTATTCGATAGCACTAGATAATGCCAGAATTCAACATTTGAAAGCTATGGTTCTCACCTCAGCAGCAGGGTGCCCAACACTTCCTTCAGAATCAGATATGGTTATTGCTTCGCTTTGTTGCCCATTAGATATAGCACCATGATCAGCTTCATAAAGGGCCCCTGCTGCTGAGAAAATTTAATGTAAACCACTGATCTTGGAAACTGTCAGAGAATTGAAGTTGACAGGGCAGTTACAAAGGTAGATTTGATTTCCCAACTTTCCCGTTGCAAAAAATTTACTATTAACTCTATGTATTTGTTTGACCCCGACGCAACATTTGAACACCCAACACATTACTTGGAACAACCCTGTAGAAGTAACAGCTATGAAACAATTTACTTACTGAATTTTGGCTCAGCTTGCTGCTGCTGCTGCTGCTGCTGCTTCCCTTTCCGTTTGACTTCCCCTGAAGCCTTTGTCTTCAGGGTAAGGGACTTAGGCTTTGATTTCGAAGGCGCTCTCTGCTGCTGCTTCCTTGCCTCCGTTTCAAAATCTGAATCAGAATCAGACCTGCCTCTGCCAGCAGTTGTTGGTCTCTTTGAAGGACCAGCCTCATCGTCAGAATTGAATTGGTGAGCATTCTGGAAAAGCAAAGGCATTGACTGAAGAAAAGTGCATTGTGATAGGTTTAATTTGAGAGCGATCGATTACTTACATTCTTCTTTTTCTTCAGGGCATGAACTTTTTTTTGTTGATTTGCTTTGGATATCTTCACCTTCGGTTCGAAGTCTGAAGACACATCATCCCCCTGTAAAAATATATTGTCAGTACCCAATATTTGGAGAGAATAACATGAGAAAAATCAGTCTGGTTAATAGCAATTGAAAGAAGACGTCTCTTACGCCATCCATCCACCGTCCCAAGTCATCTCTCTGGGAACTGTCACTGTCACTATTATTATTTTCCCGTGAGTTTATTGGTTGAGCATCATCCTAATAAAAATAAAAGTTAACTTCACGAAACTGAACTACATGTACCATCACTGATATGTCAAACCCTTACATCTGAATGGCCCTGCTGCTCTGCCACAAAGTTGTGCCCTTGCCTCTGAGCTCTATTGCCCCGAGAAGAACCCTCAGAGCTTTGACCTCGTTCAACATCAGCTTCCTTTGAAGAGGCAGCAGCAGCTGCTGCCGCTGCTCGCCGCGCGCTTCGGCGCAGTGGTTCTGGATTAGTTGTTGGACGTGTTGCATCTTGCTAAAAGAACAAATAAACCATTAAAGGAGCGTGATAGTTACGCCAGCTATTATAAATACAAAGAATCTGTTAGCAAGTAAAAAGCATCAATACCATCCATCCAATGGCGAGCGGCTGAGTGCTCTCTGGCGCCTCTACTATATTAACCACCCTGGCTGTCCTGCCACCAAAATCGTAAGGGTGTTGCCGTGTCCTGAACCCATCATTCTCTTGAGCCTGTCTGAACTGGGTTGATTCACCACGAGCCTGGAAGGCCCTATTGGCATTGATGCCATCATATCCAAACTGAAAAGGAAGACATTACAATTAGAAAACTAGGCTTGAAACAATTAAAATGTGCAAAAGAATTAAATACTGTCTCTAACATGGCCCACTCAACCATCTAGGTACTTACGTCATTGTCATGAGGATTCTCCAATGGATGAGCATTTATCCGAGCCCTGAACCCAGAAGGCATAACATCATTCTCTTGAGCCCGCTATAACGCCACAGGCATATGATCCCTGTAAGAACTTACAATGTTTCGATAGACATCATTGCTGTTGAGAGATTGTCTTCTGCTGGCGGGTGCGGGTGCGTCGCAAAGAGCTTTGGTGCGTCGTCCGTCGGCGTCGGCACAGACAAGCAGACAAGATCTCCTGACAAGCACAGTGGCGACAGTTGACAGTCGACATCGAGGCGAGCAGACGACACGAAAAAACATTAATTTTGATTAGTTTTGAATTATTCTTGAATTTTTATCATTAAAAGTATGTTGAAAAATGATGCCTTTGAATAAGAACAGCCTATCATATGCCAATTTTTAACCTTTTCCCCTAGATATCCCCATGAGAACGTCTAGAAGCAGTTGCGCCGCTCCTTAGTTTATCATTGATGAATGAAGGGGGGGGGGGGTACTCAGGGTGGTTGTAGGATAGAATGATGCTTCCTCCAAACGTGTAAGTGGCGGGCATAGCAAA